ACACACACACACACACACATATATGACTTTTTATATAGGATTGTATTATCCTGTTTTTGTAGATCTCTTTTCAGGTCTGTATATACAATCTTTCTCATGCTTACAAATTATTATTGTTGTTGTTGTTGTGTACTGTCAAGTCAGAACAAACTCATAGCCAACTCATCAACAGGTTTTCAGAGGCAGTTAATTGCATGAGAAGAAATTGCCTATTTTTTTCCACAGAGCCACTGGTGGGTTTGAACCACCTGCCTTTGAGTTGGCAGCACTAATCCTTACCACCAAGCTACCAGAGCTCCCTCAGGTAAAGTGGTAAAGTCAAGATACAGAAATTTATGGTCATAAAGTTGCGTTGAAATGTTATAAATTTCTCCAAGACTCCATAAATTGCCTGTTGTAGTTCAGATTGGCAAAGCGACCCATTTGGAGCTTGACATAACACACAGGAGAATCCATTTTGGAGTGATCATCACAGAATCTCCCGTGGGGCCCTCCAAACATCCAAGGGCCTGTTACAGTGATTGGGAGCTGGAGCTTTCCATGCCTTGCCAGCCTCCTCCTTCCCTCAACTGCCTTGGACTGCAGATCTTGGGAAGAAGTAGACAAGTTGGCTACACCAGAGAGTCCTGGACTGCTTTTCTTAGTGGGCCCTACCAGGGAGAGCTATTATTCAGACCATGTAACTCTGAATAAGAGAGCCTGCAGAACCTCATTACTGTGTGAGGTGGAAACCATTCAGATTCCCCTCCCTAGAGTGACCTGGCAAGCAGCCAGGGGAAAGTTTGACGCTGGCCCAGTAAATAAACTTCATGCTTCTTAGTCAGTTAACTCCTTAGTGTCTGAAGCCCATACATTCCTGTATCCCCCCTTTGTTTGCTTTGTGTGCTTTCATCTGTAGAGTGCCCCTTTCTTCCACCTATTTTGTAATCCACACTATCTTTTAGGAGTTGAGACTTCTTGCCCCCAAAGGATCAATTATATCTTCCAACCCCCTGTTCAGTTAATGATCAATGAATTCTTATCAAGAAATGACCCGTTTTTATTGTCTTCATTCTTCTCTGGTTGACTTCCCCCCCCCACCCCCAAGCAGTTCTATACCTCATCTTTTTCAATGCAGTGTACATTATTTATCCTCCAGTTGATTTTTAAATGCTAATTATTGCTACTTCTCTGCATGTATTTCTTGATCCTTAGTGTTGTCATTTGGTTGGGAGATTTGAACTATAGGCTTTGTATGCCAGATGCCAGTGAGGTGAAAAGTCTTATTAGTAGAAATGACCTTCAGAGACTCTTGACATTTGACCAGGTAAGTAACTTTTTCATTTTCTAGGTACTTCCCTAGATAGCAGATGAGATTATTAGGCTTATGTGGTATCACATGGAAAGGCTGTCTTAGTCCGAGAAAAGAGAGTAAGGTCTTAATGTCTTATGCTATGATACCCATATATGAAGGTGTTAAGTACTTTTGTTAGATCTTTGGATGGGAGGGCCAGAAGTAGCATTCATGATCAAGAGTAATTATAGTAATTGTTCAGGAGGTCTTTATCAAGAAAAGATTCCAGATATATGAGAAAACTTAGAGAGTGGTTGGGGTTAACTGGAGAACACTTCCTGTAGGAAGTGGGCCTTCAGCTAAGTTGATGTAGTTTGGAAGATGGAGGAGGGAAAACTGCTCAGTGATTACTTGGCAGGCTGAGCAACAGCTTGGAAGTAAAGGGGAGAAGGTCCCAGGAGAGGATTGGGAAACATAGAAAAGAAGTTTGTCTGGCATAAATAGGCCATGGTCGAATGGGAACTGATTGATTAGTTGGGGCTGGCTGGTGTATTGATGTTAAACCTGTGGGAAAAAGATCTATGCTGTAGCATTTATATAAATCCTGGTGTTTGGTAACCTCATTCTCTCTATATTTGAGACCATATATTTGCCTCAGGACCTAGTATGTGTCTTGAATTTTTATTTCAGCATATGGATACTAGCTTCTAAAAGTAAATGCTTGCTGTGAGAAGACAAAGTTTTGACTTGACTCCAGTGTCTTTAAATCCCTGCATGAATCTCTCTGACCTTCAGACAGTAAAAATCCAAGTGTTTGGCAGTATAATGGCTTTTGTAGTGAGCCTTTTTTAGTTGTGTCTACTTTGTTGGCAGATTAATTTCTTTGCTTTCTTTGCATGTCGTCTTCTTCCCTCCTTCTTCCAAAAGTGGTACAGTTGGAATAAATTTTGACTCTTAGTTAACTCTAGTAAAATATTTGAAAGAGGGACACTTTTAAAACAATTTATCACTCTTCACTAAATTTGGCTTTTATCCATTCAACACTTGTGTACTTTTTAAAAAAAAAATAATGTGTTCAGTGGTTCCAGCCTGCCTTCAGGGAATTTATGATCTTTCCTGTTTCATATTTCCTCTTTACCCTTGACCACCATTAGCAATAAAAATTAGTGTTGTGCTAATAATGAGTACCCTCTGTAAGGGTAAACTTAGATTCCATGAGAAGGCCAGTTTGTAATTTATAGATGAGAAATCTTCTGTAAAGACTATGTAACAACTTAGCAATGTGAATCATGCCTGATCAACCTGACTTTTTTATTATACTAAGATGGTATCACCCTGTTTATATAATGCTTCTTTTTATCTCTAGTTAAATATTCAGCGTACACAGAAAAAAGCTTTTGTTGACTTCATAGAAGGTGAAATCAAATTTATTCCCACTTATAAGTATGACTCTAAAACAGATCGATGGGATTCCAGGTAAAGCAACAAGAACCTGTTTGTGGAAAAGGCTAAGGCCTGATCTTGTTTCTCTGGCCTTCCATGTTTGTAAAGGGCTGGGAATTTTTTTGGTCCTAACCTTAGAAGGGAAAAACCTAGTGGCATAGTGCTATTACAGAAGAGGTAATTAATGTTTTAATTTTATTGATGTTTAGATTATACACAGTAAAATAGATACCAGTCAGCAGTTTCTACATGTGCAGTTCCATGAAAGTGATTACATTCTCTGAGTAGTGCAACCATTTTAACGCGCCTTGTCTGAGTTGTCCCTCTCCCATTAACAAGTCACTGCCCTCTAGGGTTCTTAACAAATCTTTCTAAGTTACTGTTGTCAGTTTGACCCCAAATTGAGTACAAATCATAGTGACCCTGTGAAAAAGAGATCTGAGTCCTGCCCTAACCCATACCGTCCTCACCATCTCTGACATCCTTGAGCCCATTGCTGCAGTCACTTATCTGCAGTCTCATCGATGGTTTTTGCCTCCTGCATTGACTCTCCACTTTCTGAACATGTTTCCTAACAACATGCCCAAAGTATGTGAGACAAAGTTTCACCCTAATTGCCTCCAGGGAGCATGCATTGCTGGGCTGCAATACATATTTGTGCTTGTGGCAGTCCATGGGATATTTAGTTCTCTTCTCAGCACCACAAGGCAAAGGCATCTCCTGTTATCTTTATTCACTGGACAACTCTCAGGTGCATAGCAACTAATTAAAAAGACCATGGCTTGAATCAGGCACACTGTAGTCTTTAAACTGGAATCCTTGCTCTTCTGCAATTTGGAGAGGTCCTTGACTTTCCCAGAGTAAATATGTCTTTTGATTTCCTGACTGCTGATACCAGGATTCTTTGTTGTGAATCCAAATAAGATTAAATCATTGACAACCACAATCTTTCCTCCATCTATCAGGATGTTGCCGCTCAGCCTAGTGGTGTGGATTTTTGTCTTCTTGATATTCCATACTGACAGCTATAGTGTTTGATCTTCTGCAGCGGGCACTTCAAGTCCTCTTCATATTCAGCAAGCAAGGTTTGAGACATAAAACACTAATGATCAAAGACCAGATAAGTTGTGGGATGACATCAAGGATATTATCCATGAAGAAGGCAGAAGGTCATTAGAAAGACAGAGGAGAAAGAAAAGACCAATGGATGCCACAAGAGACCATGAGAATTGCACTAGAATGCCAAGAGGCCAAAACAAAAGGAAGGTTTGCTGAAGTGAGGGAGATGAGCATAAGATTTCAAAGGGTAACTCAAGAAGACAAAGCAAAGTATTATAATGATATGTGCTAAGAGACCGAATTAGAAAGCAAAAAGGGGAAAACTCGCTTGACATTCTTTAAACTGAAAGGGCTGAAAAACCAATTTAAATCTTGAGTTGCAATACTAAAGGATGCCATGGACAAAATCCTGAATGATGCAGGAAGCATCAAAAGATAATGGATGGAATTCTCTGAGTCACTGTAGCAAAAACAAATGACTGACGACACTGAACCATTTCAGAAAGTAGATTATGACCAACAACCAATAGTGATGAAGGAAGAAGTTGAAGCTGCACTGAAGGCATTGGTAGTTAATAAGCCCCCACGAAATGATGGAGCATCAATTGACATGTTTCAACAAACAGATGCAGCCCTGAAAGTGCTCAACAGATTGTGCCAAGAAATTTGGAAGACAGCTACCTGGCCAACAGACTGGAAGAGATTCAAATTTGTTACCATTCTCAAAAAGGTGATCCAACAGAATGTGATAATTATCTAAAAACATTCATATCACATGCAATTAAGATCATGTTGCAGATCATTAAAAAATGTCTGAAACAGTATATCCACAGAGAAGTGCTAGATGTTCAAGCACAGTTTAGAAGACTTCATGGCACCAGGGATATCATTGTTTATATCAGATGTATCCTGACTGAAAGCAGAGCATACCAGAAGAATGTCTATTTGTGCTTTATTGACTAGGCAAAAACATTTGATAAGCTGTGGTTAACATTGAGAAGAATGAGAATCCCAGAATACCTAATTGTGGTCATATGGAACCTAAACCTAGATCAAGTAGCTGTTATGTGAACAGAGCAAGGGAATACTACATGGTTTAAATGTAAAGTATGTGCATCAGGGTTGTATCCTTTTTCCATACCTATTCAGTTCTGCACAATTAGCAAATAATTTGAAAAGCTGGACTTTATGAAGAAGAATATGGTTATCAGGATTGGAAGAAGACTCATCAACAACCCACATTATGCAGATGACACAAGCTTTATTCCATATGGATAGATATAAAAACAAAATTATGTCCAATGGCAGATACTCTCTACTAATTAAGCTAAGCTATTATTTAGTTTTAAGTAAACTTTAGGATGTTTTTTAATTTGATGTTTAACAGAAGAGTTTTAAATTCACAGATAGAATATCTTAGGGATATATTGCTAATATGGCAGAGCTGTTGAAGTTGTGTGGGTTATAACTTACCTTATTTTGCCTTGGTTTGGCTATTGCCCCAAAAAACTGCTTCTCAGTTATGTAGTTCAGGATAAAGAAGATGAAAATACTCAAAGATCTATGAGAGATTCTTCTAGCACTCTCAACTCATTCCGAATACTGAGTACACATTAAAATTCCCCCGAGAGCAATTAAAAGTACTGATCCTTGGCGCCCTCCTCTGCCAGAAAACATTGAGAACCACTGTCAAAAAGGCCCTGTGTTTTCCTAATTTTTCCAGTACAAGGCTTCTGTCAGTAAGTTCTTAGTCACTGACTATTTGTCTCATACCTAAAATTTATCTCTTTGTTCTCTTTACTTTCCAAGCTGGCTGTGTCCAAATGTTTCAAATCAAAAGGAATACTCTGCTGCTTGAGGTTCTAAAAACACTGAGAGTGTGTGGGGAGGATTCTGTTTGTATCATGCTGTTTTACAGCTGCAGATCAGCAAATGAAAAGTGACATATCTTGTACACTGCTTTGTTTTTCCCGCTCACCTGACTCAAGGCCAACTAAAGGAGCTGCTGCAGTTTGTGTCAGATTCTGGATCAGATGTTGGAGGTGCTCCTTATTCTAATGGAATGATGCGCTTGTTGTTGGGTGCATTGGGTCTGACTCATAGCAACCATGTGAACAACAGAATGAAACACTGTCCAGTCGGTTGTCATCTCATCTCACAGTTGTTGCTGTGCTTCACCCCGTTGTTGCAGCCACTGTATCAGTACATCTCATTGAAAGGCCACTTTTCCCCCTCACCCTCAACTTTACAAAGCATGGTGTCCTCCAGAGACTAGACCCTTTTGATAACATACTGAAAGCATTCAAGACGAAGTCTCGGCATCTTCACTTTTAAAGAATATTCTGGCCATACTTCTTCCAAAACACATCTATCTATTCCTTCTTCTGACAGTCCATTGTATATTTAATATTCTTCACCAATGCCCTCATTCAAAAGCATCAGTTATTCTTAATCTTACAAATAGATATTTCCCCCCTGCTTCCCTTGGTAGTCTATGGATTGTTGTGTGTTGAGACCTACATGCCTGCATATTAGTTCTATGGAAGCCATACTTGTTCAGAAAAGTTCAAGTTTAAAGGAGGGTTGCTACCCTTACTCAACTCAAGTAAGTAGACACAGGCTAGAAATAGAAAATTGGACTTTTATGTTTTATTTACTGTGTGTCAGGAGTTAAGTGTCTTTTGCAATTAATAGAACAAAACAGGATGCAGTGTTGGGAGTGTAACCATAGCTTTCTGAGGATGATTTAAGAGGATGCTGTTCTGCTTTCCCCTATGGTGATGCAATCCTAATCATAGAACCATTTATTCATTCATTAGATAACTATTCATTGAGCACCTACTTTGTATGATGGGCTATGTTAGGTGCTAGGAGTCCAATAACAGACAGTCTCATTCCCTTTACCAATCTTGACATATAAATAGGAAAGAGCACAATAAGTTTGTGAGGGAAGGACAAGTACGTGATTCTTTGAGAGCATATAACAGGAGGGTCTGACCTAGGTCTGAATCAGTGTAGTGGGTATTGTTTGTATTGCATTCTTGTGTGGTATGATTTATATTCTGTATCTAACTCATCTTTTTTATTTTTAATTTGTAGTGGGAAATGTCGAGTTCCAGCTTGGTGTGACAGAATTCTTTGGAGAGGAGCAAATGTTAGTCAACTTCATTACCGGAGTCACATGGAACTGAAAACCAGTGATCACAAACCTGTTAGTGCGCTCTTCAATATTGGGGTAAACATTTGTTTGCTCTTTCATTTGTTTGTATGCTAAATATCTATTCTTAGCATTATTTAGCCTCAGAATAGATCACTAGTTCAGTGAGCCATAAATGTTCCCATAACCAAATAGTAATCTGCAACATGGAGAAGTTAGAGCCTTCAACCCTCTTAAATACTCTCTATATAGGGATTAACTCCATACGTCTCTTAATGATGTGTATGTTTCTCATGAATATAAAAGTTAGGTGCCTACTGGTAAGAAACTGCCCTGTAATCCCAAAGGCATGTGCTTCAAATTCAGGAACTGTTCTATGGGGGAAGAGATGGGCAGTCTCCTCCTGTGCGATTAAACTGCCTCTGAAAACCTAGAGGGTCAGCTATGGGTTGGTTCTGACTTGACGGTACACACAACAACAACAAAGTCATTATGTACAAAGAAGAATGAGAGGCTAGGTTTTCAATATTGAGTAGCTTTTCATCAACAGAAAGGGAGAAACAGGGAGGATCTCCAGGTGGAGGCAGTGAATAGCAGGAGCAAAGGCACCAGCAGGTCAGAGTCAATCCAACCTATATACTAACTTGAGAGATACGATGTGCAGGTATAAGGCTTTCTCTTCAAAAGCATAGGTTTCAATTTTGTCGTTTCACTCTTGTATTCTAGGTGGCATTGTTGTTGTTGTTGTTAGGTGCCGTCGAGTCATAGAGGACTCATAGCGACCCTATGAACGAAACGCCTGAACACCATTCATTCGTACATAGAGTTTCCGGAGGCAAGCCATTTCAGAAGTGGATGCCGCTCCTGCTTCCAGGCTTGATTTAGTCGGGAAGCTCCAGCCAACACTGTCCACCATGGGTGCCCATTACCACGATTGGCACATCACTGTCACAGTGTTCAAGCATCACAGCAACCACGAGTTACCTCTGTACAGCAACACACAGACCAGTGCTATAAGGTGGCGTTAGGCTGGTTATTAAATATTTTTATGTCTGTTGTGAGTAAAAATTTATTATTTCCACTATATTTTCTAGCTGTGTGATGCTAATATGCTGGTAATATCCTATAAGCTTCCTGGTATGACTTTTTTATATATAAATAATTTTTTCATTGTGACTTTAAGGAAAGCTTAAAGAAAACTTGGATTTCCATTAATTTATTTGTATACATTTTCTTCCCTTCACCCCCCCCCCGCCCCAGTTCGAATTTGTCTTTGAAAAAATTCATTCATTGTTGCACAGTTTGTTCCCTCCCCTGCCAAGTCAACCTTGCTAGGCACCTCTTATTCTGGATTTTTACCATGCAGTTAATGCCTAACCATCTGTTCCTTTTAACAGGTCTTTCCCTCATATGTTCCAATGCAGAGTTCATTGTTTATCTCCTCTTTTCTCAGTTTCCCCCAACCCTCATGTCAGTCCTGTTTTATAACAGTGGCATTGTGCAGTATTTGTCCCTTTGTGACAGGGATCTTTCACTCAGCATAATGTCCTTCAGGGACATCCATGTTGTGTAATATTTTATGAGTTCCTTGTTTTTCAGTGCTGCATAGTATTCCATTCTGTGAATATACCACCACTTTTCTATCCATTTATTTGTTATTGGACACTTCGGTTGCTTCTATGTCTTTGTTAAAGCCAGTCCATTGGGCTTGGTTCTTTTGGGTTTTCCAGATTTATGGGGATGAAATCTGTGAGAATTTATGTAGCATAGCATTTATTGAAGGAGCCCTGGTGGCGTAGTCTGTGGCGTGTTTCTCTGCAAACTACAAGACAGTACCACTCCAGCAGTTCAAATCTTCCAGAGGCCTTGCAGGAGAAAGAAAGGTACTCTCTTTCTATAAAGATTTGCTGCTTTGGAAACCCAATTGAGGATTGGTCAGTATGAGCCAAAATTGGTTCAGTGGCAGTGAATTTGAGTGTTTAATAAGATGGACATTATAATTGGATTGTTTAGCATCTCAGCCACTTTCTGTGTAGCCATGTGTGGCCATGAACAATTTACATAAGCTCTCTGTGCCTCAGTTTCCTCTGTTATACCATGGGGACAATAATAACACCTACACATGAGGATTAATGAGTTAAGGTATGCAAAGAGTACATTAAGGTGTCTGTTCCTGGATGTGGGACTAGGGTTTTTTGGGTTTTTTTTGCTTCTGAGATAGGTGTCACCAGCTTGTCTTGTCCTGCTCCTGTTTTAAAAAGGAGTGGCTTTGGGACGTTAAGTGAAAAATTAGTTCTTGGCTTTAGAGTAGAGTAGAATTTCAATTTTATCAAAACAGTCAAGACTTTACTTCAGCCTATTTTGAGATTTGAAAAGACTAATGATGCGTAATCAAGCATTGAGGACTCTTCATCATAGGGTCACTATGAGTCGCCTGTGACTCGACAGCACTAACAACAACAGTGATGCATAATAGGGGAGTTCTGGTGGCCTAGTGGCAAGAAGCTGCGCTGCAATCCCAAAGGCATGCGACCAGCTGCTCCATGGGAGAGGGATGGGCAGTCTCCGCCTGTGCAATTAACTGCCTCTGAAAACCTGCCAGAGGGTCAGCTATGGGTCTGTTCTGACTGGATGGTACACAACAAGAATAATGAGTAAAAGTAAATGTTCCTCAAATAGTAACCAGTAGCTGTGTGCATTTCAGACATTGTAGGAGAGGAAGACCCTGGATGAGATGGATTGATAACAGTAACTAGGGCAATGGAGGTTGGTGCCGCAGAGTCAGTGAGACTGGCTGAGGACATGGCAGGGTTCAGAGCTGTGGTACATAGGGTCAAAGTATGTGAGGTGAAACCTCATCATCTTTGCCTCTAAAGAGCATTTGGGCTGTACTCTCCAGGACATCTTGTTTCTTCTTTTGGCTGTTCATGGGATGTTCAGTGCTCTTCTCCAGCACCATAGCTCAGAGGCAGCAATTCTTCTTCTGTCATCCCTGTTTGTTTTCCAGCTCTCAGATACACAGCAAGTGATCGGAAAGACTGTGGCCTGAATCAGTATTAACTGTAGCAGTATGCATATTAGTGGATCTTTTTGGCTTTCCATTTTCTCAACTACAGGAAGGAGAGTAATAATCATTTGTTTTGATGGAGTTGCTGAGAAATTATTTTTTTAAATAAAAAGTGGCAAAATTTTGTAAAGCTTTAAGAGATCATTAATATTTATAGCTAAAATTCATCTTATCCTAACAATAGAGTAAGGATGCCAGTGATACCAAAGTAGTTGCTTGTTCTTAATTCTCTTAAGAGTCATAGTTAAAATCTGTAAAAACGTTCCCAGTCTGAGAAATTTTGCTCAACAGTGATCTTATATTCCACATTTGCTTTAGACTCCCTACTTTACACATTAATATTTTTTGCATGGATTTCTGTAACATTTTCTACCCATTTGAGAAGCTGGTCTCTCAATAAGTTAAAATACCATGTTAACTTTGTTCATTTGGGCATTAATTTATATGAAGCTTTTAATAATAAAAAGAAACTGATATTGGGAAGTCTAAAGTGCTGGATTGTCAAGTAGACCTAGTTGTTCAATCAGTCAAGATGATTTGTTTTTTTATTATCATTGATTTACTCTAGTCTGTGATATTATGTTGGCTGTTTTGAAAAAATGGCTATAAGTTCCATTTATTAACGTACCATTTATAGAACCTGAGCATTGACACTGATTCTTGGCCCTGGACACAGCAGATAATGGAGTTAAATCCTTGAATCAGATTTTCTGCTGTCTCACTTTTTAATGGCTGTTTGAAATAGTTAACAGGTGTGTTCTAACACTGTGAATTTGTCCAATGCAAGCATCTTTACCACCACTAAATAATTTGAGAAAGGAGCAAGAAAATATCCTTTCAAAGTATTTATTATTGTCAAGCAACTTAACATAGAGGATTAACGTTCCTAGGAATTTAACTAGACAGTTACTGTCTACCCTTACCTTAAGAGGGGAGCTCTGGTGGCATAATCCATAGGCAGTCACTCCGCTGACCCAAAAGCCAAACCTCTCTGGTGGTTCAAATTCACTAGTGCCTCCACAGGAGACAGATGTGTACTCACCTCTCATGAGATTTATAGCCTCAGGAACCCAAGGGAGAGTCAGCTCCCGACTTGACAGCAATAAGCTTTATCTTAAAATGTGTGCTTCTCAATTTTGTGGGTGGCAGAGTGAAGGAAATAGGTAGGCTGTCTTGTGTGCAGAACAATGTATTTGACCTTTGTAAATAAATCAGTATTTAAAAAAATTAAAAATATGGGACCTGAAAAGAAAAAGTAGAAGGTTAAAAGAAAAAACAACCAAAAAAACCCCAAAAAGCCCCACCTAAAAGAAAGTAAATGTGTGCTTCTATAGTCCTTAGAATTGATACTTCCCTTGTTGTTGTTATATACCGTCAAGTTGGAACGGACTCCTAGTAGATCCTCGAGTGGGTTTTCAGAGGCATTAAATTTCCTAGGAATTCATTTTGCATCGTTCTTCCATGAAGCAGCTGGAATAATTGAGTTGCTTGCCAGTTGGTAGTGCAATTCCTTACCACTAAGCCACCAGAGCACCCTGTGCTTGCCTTACTGGTGTGTACCATCAAGTCAGAACTGACCCATAGCTGACCCTCCAGTGGCTTTTTAGAGGCAGTTAATTGCACAGGAAGAGATTGCCCAGCTTTCTCCAGCAGAGCAGCTGGTGGATTGGAACTGCAGGCCTTTGGGATTGCACAGTTTCTTTCCATTAAGCCACCCGTGCATCTAAGACTAAAATAAGGATATATTTTCCTTCAGAGTATATGCTTGACCTTTAAAAAATTGTTAGAGAATATTGGAGATGTGTAAATTGGGAGCACATGAGACTAAAATAAGGACATGTTTTCTTTTTTTTTTTTTAAGGACATGTTTTCTTTCAGGTCTAAGTTATGGATGCACTGAGATACAGAAAATGTTAGAGAACATTCTTTATACTATCGTTTCTTTTAACTGAAGGCGATAATTGTTGTTGTTGTTTGGTGCTGCCGAGTTGTAGATGACTCATAGTGACCCTATGAACGAACGGCCTGAGCACTGTTCGTACATAGAGTTTCCGGAGGCAAGCCATTTCAGAAGTGGATGCCGCTCCTGCTTCCAGGAAGGCTGTAATAGCCAATTTTAAATCGTAATATGATCACAACGGGAGATGAACTAGGAGCATGTAAGACTGAAAACAGAGTTTGCTTTCTTGCAGGTAAAGGTTGTGGATGAACGGAGGTATCGGAAAGTCTTTGAAGATATTGTCCGCATCATGGACAGGATGGAAAATGAATTCCTTCCTTCGGTAGAACTCAGCAGAAGGGAAGTGAGTAGAAATAGTGGCCTCTCTGTCTTCTGCCCACGGTGCTTAGCACAAAGGCAACCATCTGACTTAGAAAAAAAATTTAAGAGGATGTGCCTTGGTGGTGCTCGGGGGACCGGTACTAATCCGGGGCAATCAGCCCCTCACGCTTGCCGCCATGCCTCGCAAAATTGAGGAAATAAAGATTTTCTGCTCACAGATCAAGAAAAATAAGAATAATAGAGAAGGCAGAGAAATTGAAGCAGTCCCTACTCCCAGGTTTGGCAGTGAAGGAGCTGAAACGAGCCAGCATGCAGATTTGAACTATAATAAAATTATTTTAAAAAACCCCAAAACGCGTGTGTGCCTTGAAGTCCAACTGACTCTCTGGAAGTCCCAGCACAGTTGTATATTTGTTGTTCTCAGAGCTGCAGTTTTGGTTTTTTGTTTTTTGGTGTTGTTTTTTTTTTTTTTTTAAAGACGTGGTGGTTAAGATTACTTGAGTTAATACACATGAGGCTCTTAGAACAGTGCCAGACATGTAGTAAACCCTCAGGTGCGGGCTGCTCTTAGTTAATATTACTTAATTTGCTAATTAGTTCACATCTCAGGAAATAAGTTAATAGTATATAATTTGCTAATTAGTTCACATCTCAGGAAATAGGAATTGATCACAGGGTTAGGATCTGGAAACAAAAGATGAAGCAAGAGTCAGAGAACTCCTCCTCTGGCCACCACAGTGAGTATAACAATATAGGAAATGGGGGAGGGTAAAACAATATATGAAATGGGGGGGTGTGGCCCTGGCCCACTTGCAGAGCTGGTGAAGAATTACCTTATTCTTTTTTCGTATTTTCTATGGAGTAATCTAACTGACTGACTTCCCCCACTAGTGATGCATGTTTGTGTCTGTCTGTTATTCCCCAGTTTGTGTTTGAGAATGTGAAGTTTCGGCAACTGCAAAAGGAGAAGTTCCAGATCAGCAACAACGGACAGGTTCCCTGCCATTTTTCTTTCATCCCTAAACTTAATGACAGCCAGTACTGCAAGCCATGGCTTCGGGCCGAACCTTTTGAGGGCTACTTGGAGCCAAGTGAGTTTTCCCTTTACCTCTGTATCTGCTTGCTATGTCTCATCTCTTCCCACTTCCCATTCCTCCCCTTTTTAACTTCTTATTTTCTAACCATATCGTCACTACATTTGTGATACCTCTATTGTATATCCAGTTTCTTCATTTTCATTGCCTGATGGATTTTGTTTTTCTAGGACATTTCTTCTGTCCATTTCCATGTTCTACTTCCGCTTTTCCATTAGAAGGTTCTCTTACCACATATCATCTCTTATATTTCAGATGAAACAATAGACATTTCCCTTGATGTGTATGTCAGCAAAGACTCTGTAACCATCCTGAACTCAGGGGAAGATAAGATTGAAGATATTCTTGTCCTTCACCTGGATCGAGGCAAAGATTACTTCCTGACGATCAGTGGAAATTACCTCCCAAGTTGCTTTGGAACATCCTTAGAGGCTTTGTGCCGAATGAAGAGACCTATTCGAGAAGTTCCTGTTACCAAACTCATAGACTTGGTAAGAAGTACCCTAAGATGCAGACCTCCTTTATATAGAATTCTCATCATACTTATGTGGTGTCCTCCTCATCATATCTGTGCTCTGTTTTCTTTGGGACTATTAAGGACTTTATCGTTGCTTGCATTAGCTTAAGCTGAGAGGATCAGGGAAGAGGGTTATCTGTAACTGGCTTTTGTCAGGAATTTTACAGATAATATTAAGCTCACTGAATAAGATTAAAGGCTCTCATCTTGGGAATAAAATTCTAGTTTAAGCTCTTCATACTTTCAAGTCCCTTTTGTATAGATTAGGACATATGTGAGGTTTCATAATAGGGGAGGCCATATTATCTCCAGTAAACATACAAGAAAGCTCCAGGCACAGAGACATTAACTTGCCCAAAATCAAGTAAGTGACAAAGCTATCACCCAGATTTTCCTATTTTCAGTCTAGTACTCCTCACTCTACTACATTATAGTTTTACTGTTATGTATTTGAAGTCCAGGCCCACAAGTGAACTTTGGAGGGTCTGCATTACACTCCTTGGGGTTGTTTATTACAAAGCACTCCAGCTCCTACCCTTCTCACCTACAGAACACTACCCTTCCTCCAACTTCTAGCCACAGAATCAAACTCTTAGATGTCGGGCCCGGGAATCTGCATTTAAATCAGCATCTTAAATGATTATAAATGTGTGCTGATATTTGCTATTCATTTAATGTGATTCTGTTAAGGGAAGAAGGACCATTTCCCCAATGCCACGCCAAGCTCTGGATTCAGTATCCTGGTGAGAGAAGTGCTTATTATCTCCAGTAACATGCATCAATTTAGTACAAGTTCATCCTTCCCACTGAAAAGATTGTTGGATTTGTATAAAAATATTTTTTCTTGGCCTTTTCCCAGAGGAAACTAGGTCAAGTGCCCTGTGAACGTTATCATTCATATTAGTATTGTTGCTCTCCTTTGGGCATGGGGGGAGCAGGGTTAGGCCAGCTTGGCTGTGTTTGATCACTTCTGTTGCCATGGAGTTGTTTCAGCTGTGACTCAGAGAGCAGATGAAAACATTGGCGTCCAGACCCTGCATTCTTTCTTGGAATTTACTTGTTTCCCCAGAGCTTTCATGAGTGAAGGCGCTCTTACCTGAGAGAGAATCATTTCCTTCAGATACTCATATTCTGATAATATAATAAGAAGAATATATATTCTGATAATGATAGAATATATATTCTGATCATTTTCACACGTACTTGTTTTTTCTTCTGCCACCATTATCCCTGCCTTTGCCGTTTAGCATTTCACTTTTTTTTTCCTAATATAACTCTCTCGAAATCTCAGTTGTTTCCCCTTCCCCCCACCCCGCCCCTACTCACTTCCTCCCATTCCAAGCACCATAGACCAGCTGCATTTTTGCCAACTTTTCATTATGAAAAAATTTCAAATATACAGAAAAATCAAAAGGTAGGGTGCTCTGGCGGCATGGTCCATAGGAAGTTGCACTGCTAACCCGAAGTCTGTGCCTCTTTCGAGGTTCATTTCCACCAGCAGGTCCAAGGGAGAAGGATGTATAGTCTCCTCCCTTGAGATTTACACTCTTGGAAACCCTGCTGGAGGGTGAGCTATGAGTCAGCTTTCACTCAACGACAGTGAGCTGATGAGTACAGTGAGCACCCACAAACATACATATATACCTACATATATACCAACATATATACACATATATGTTGCCTTGCTGTGCCATTTGACATTCAGATTGGCACAGTGACTGGAACAATGGGTTTGAGCATATCAGTGATTATGAGGATGGTGCAGGATGGGACAAGGTTCAGATCAGTTCCTGTGGCTGCTATGAGTCACAGTCACCTTGATGGGACCTGCCAACAGCAATGACAGCATGCCTCTTTGTCACTAAACACTTTAGTGTGAATCTCTTAAAAAACCCAAAACTTTGTTCAAGTACAAAGCAGTTACGCCTAAGAAAAGTACCAATAATTTACGATATCCTCTTAACTAATAATCAGTCCATATTCCCATTTCTCCACTTGTCCCCAAAATTCCTTTCATTATTGTTGTTGTTAAGTGCTTTTGAGTGGGCTCCTTGTCGTTGCTAACCTTGGATATACCATACCTTGTGCCTGCCTCATCATCTTGCCTGTGCCCATTGCTCCAGTCTCTGTGTCAGTCCGTCACGTTGAAGGCCTTTCTCTGTCTTGCTGATCCTCTACTTTTCCAAGCTTGATGTCCTATTGCAAAGACAAGCCACTCCTGATAACAGGCACAAATTATGTGAGATGAAACCTCACAGTCTTAGTTTCTAAAGAGCACTCTGGCTTCACTTCTTCCAAGACAGATTTTTCTGGGTTTTTGTCAGTCCATGATAGAGACTCAGTACTCTTTACCCAGCACCACAGTTCACTCCTTTGGTTTTCTTTCATCCAGCTTTCATGTGCATATGAAGCAATTGAAAGCAAGTGTCATGCACACTTCCGTTTTCAAAATGACATTAAGTTCTCTAGTACTTTGAATAGGTCCTTGGCAGCAGATTTTCGCAATGCAATGTTGTTTGTTTAACAGCCGCTTCCATAGTAAAATTAAATCATTGACAACTTCTATCTATTCTCCATTTATCATTATTCCTTTTAAAGCTTTTTAAAACCCAAAATCTGGACTGGGTTTGCACATTCCATTTGACTAGATCAATTCAGTAGGCTCTTTCTTGGTAAATCAGTTAGGTCTCTGCCTTTTTTTCCCCTACTAGTTTATTTACAAAATTCAAATACAAATTTGAACAGATTCTTTCCATTTCCCTCAGCCCCCCCATCAAATTGTACAACCCAAAGACTAATCCCTCCTTCCCCCTGCACATCCACATCCCTCTGCTTCCAGCCTCTCCCACTCCTCCTGGATCCTTTTACTCATTCTACAATAATGGTTGAATATAATATTTATCCTTTTGAGACTGAGTTAGTTCACTCAGCATAATGCTCTCCAGTCCCTTCCAAGTTAGGTAATAATTTACAAAGTTATTGCTCCTGTGTGCTGCATAGTATTCCATTGCATGAATGTACTATAATTTTTTTCTTTAATGACACTTTCTAAGAGCCCGGTACAGTTGTCCAGCAGAAGATCCAGTATTTCCTCAATTGACTGGATTGTTTCTGAGTTTTTCTTACTAAACACATCATGTCCATGTTCCCCACAAATTTTCTGTAAACTAGAACCTGGCTTTATTTTTGGTGAAAATTCAGAGAGGCATTATAATAGCTTTGTCCCAGCTTTTCCATATTCTGGAAACAGCTAAAAGGAAGCTTAACTAGCATCCAGAAGTTTTAACTTTATTTAAAATAGTCTCACATAATTAATTAAAACATGTTTGCTCGTGAATAGGAAGTAGCCAGAAACATTTTGAAATGAATGGCTCCACAGAGAGCCCTTTTTCTTTTTATGAACAAATGATTCCAAGTAAAAACAGAACCCTGTTCATTTTTAAATTAAGTAATTGCTTTGCTCTTACTGAATTGTTTGTGTATGGTCATAATTGGTTCTCTTAGGGTGTTTATTTTGTAAGATTCAGAGTTCTGATTTTCTTTGTACCCTTTTGTATTTCTATGTTATTAAAATTCTGTATTTCATTAATGTTACCCATATTAGTATAAATTAGTAAACCAAAAAAATCTAAGCTTATCTTTACCCTTTTCTAACTACCTTTCCAGCCTGTTTTGACTTTATTTTAGCCTTCTGCAATGCTTTCCTAGGTTTGATGTTTGTTCCTAGCTCCCAAATAAAAACTTGTATTCCGTAAGGTGACGTTATTAATAATTAGTACTTGTCAAATATACTCTCAGATATTAGTGAAACCAGAAATGAGTTCTGTACGTATGTTGAATTTCTGTGTAATATTTCAGGACAATTCGTTGCATCACATCCTCTTCCCACTAAATACAGAATGAAATACTAACAAAAGTCCTTTTTTCTTCAGCCCTTCTCAATGATAGTGATTTTTGCAAAAGTCTTATGATTCCTAGAATAATTGAGATTAGCACCAATAGCAAATAGATGAAAATCTACTGTTTATAATTCTCTTTATCCACTTCCAGAATTAAGGTATCTTTTTGTGTTTTGTAAACTAAGTAGCTATAATCATCAATATTTGTTCTTTAAATGTCAAATACAAAGTACTGCACAGTCTTTATGGGTTCCTGTGATATAGTGGTGAAGAAAATATACTTTGCTGTACTATACGGCTAAATTTGAAATTCTTGTTAATAGGGAATTTGGTGTCTAGTGTGTTTAGTGAATCACTATTTTGGCACATCATCTAAAATTATTATTGTCATTATAGAGCTTACAGTTTATATTAGCAATAGGTTCCTGCGCTGTTTACTCAAGCCTTTATATGCTGGGAAACCTTATTGATTTACAAGCTCATCTCTGTAAAAATCAGTCTCAGATTTAGCCTGTTTTGGCTTTAATGAATGTTTGATTCATGTAGCATTAGCATGACTAGAAATTATACACTCAGCACAGAAGAATAAATAAGAATTGAAAAAAAAATTTGTGAGGAGTCATAGAAGTATTTTTTAGTCAGGTCCAGAAATGAAAGGTGCAAGGCACATGGCACTTAACTAATACAGTGAATGAGCAGGCTCTTCCAGTCAAGGCGGAAAGTTAAAGTTAAAAGGCCATATGTGGAAAAGTTTAATATTTCTCTGAAGAGAGTGAGGATTAAGGATAACAGTGTGGGAAACTGGAGAGGTAGCATGGGAGCAAATGATAAGAGAGCCTTGACGTCAGCAGATAACCTTCTGCTTGACCAGAGGACGTCTAGAACCACCAGAGAAGCTTTAATGATCAACGTTAGCTTGTAAATCAAATACATGCTGGTGTTGCTTTTAGAATGGACTGATAGAAAGGAGGCCAGGCTTGAACTAGCAGGTTCTGGTTAGAGGTTCTGGTTATAAATACAAAGATGAAAAAAATTCAGGGCTGGGTACAGAATCTATTCACGTGGGAGCATGCTG